ATAACCTACCCCCCCCCCAAAAAAAACAGGAGAAGAAATGCAGGCCTGCCTTTTGCTGTCCAGTAAGTTCTGGAAAACTCCACCAAAGACCACACCACACCACATGACAGAAAGGATGCCTATAGTAAAAAAAATCAAAATTGGCATCAGACTTTTGCATTCAAACCCCCACAACAGAAGCTACTGTAGCCCCTAAGATTCCCCTGCAGGGTACCCAAAATTTTAAATCACATTTCTGCACGCTTCTCCCAAACAGAACGAATGCAATAGCAGATCCAAATTCTCCCAGGAAATACCATTTAAAGTGAGACTCATGGAACATTTCCCTCCCAACCCAGAAGAAAAACAACCAGTAAAAATTTTAAATTCAGGTTTTAAATTTAAAACCCCAATCCAAGAACCATGCATGCACAGAAGAGCAGGAAAATTAAAATGAGACTCATGGAACATTCCCCCCCGACCCAGAAGAAAAACAGCCAGTAAATTTTTTAAATTCAGGTTTTAAATCTAAAATTCCAAATCCAAGAACCATGCATGCACAGAAGAGCAGGAAAATTAAGGAAAAGGCATGCACATAACCCCCCCTGCAATTTACTGTATCCAAAAATAAGAAAATAAAAATACCTGTAAGACTTATGCAATAAAACCCACCACCCACACAGGAGAACAAATGCAAACTTACCTTCTGCTGGCCAAGTTCTCCAGAACAGACCAAGTCAGCCCTGGAACTCCACGTGTAAAAGAGCACAGGATGCATTGGGGAAGGGTTTTTAAACCTTCCTCCCACAAAGCACAATGCATCCTGGGTATTGACTGCTTAAATTTGAAAGAAAACAACAACAGGGAAAAACACCCTGGAGGCAGTGGCATTGCAAAACAACGACCGTTAAAACGCCATTCAAGCTAAGCACGCCCCCCGGGCTGTTTAAATCATTGCTAAGTGAAACAAGGGACCCAAAATTTAATCGTTATGCGAAGCATGGTCCCACCATCGCTAAGCGAAAATCGCCCATAGGGACCATCGCTAAACGAAGCATTAAAACGCTCCGGAAAAGTCATTGCTACGCGATTTCGTCGTTAAACGGAGCGCCCGTTAAGCGAGGCACTACTGTACTTTAAATCAGTGATGATAGCCTGATCGTGTCATGCTCACCCTCTTTTGTGTAATTTTTTTTTGAAAATTCACTTTTTTACAGGAATTTTATGTTGTCAGCTATGCTACATAAAATGCTCAATAATTATAATGCTGTTTAACATAAGAGTAATATAATGCTTGTAGAAAGAAAGTCACAGGTTTCATTTTTGAGTAGTCTCCCTACATTTCTGTATATCACTGATACAGGACTAACTTACGATGATTGAGGCAAAAAACAAAATAGCACCTAATCTGTCCAGTTTAAAAAAAACTGGCTGGACTGGCAACTGAGCATGTCAACACTAGAAATTGTACCATATCTTTAATTGCACCCTAAGATACAGATATTAGTATCTGCTGTTTACAGCAGTGGTCTCATTCTGCTCAATTTTCTAATACTGACCCCTAAAGATAGCACAGGATAGAATCCAGTTAAAGGCTACATTAAGTTTTGTGAAGATTTTTCCCGTCTTTGACATCTACTGCCTGCACCTCAAATAAATCTGAAATTGCTGTTCCAGAAATCAATTTTAAACTAAAGTAGGCTTTTGTTTTACTATGATCTTGAACGAGAGTTTAACTGGTACAGATGTAATGTTAGACTGCATTGTGTCAAATGATAAACTTGAAATTCCTGTGACAGAAAATGCTGTACAGTCAACCCTCAACTTACAAATGGCCCTAGTTCCTATTTTAAATCGGAAGTATCAGAGATGTGAATCTCTATTTGGGGACGGTCTGAAAAGCAGTCAAAACCAAACTAGGCCGTGCCCAGTTATACAGTCTGGGTATTCTAATAACACAGCATTACAGTCAACTCTTGACTTACAAACAGCCCTAGTTACAACCATTTTGACTTACAAACTGCTCTGATAGAAAAATATTGACTCGACTTGCAAATTTAGATTCGAGTTACAAACCGAAAAAATGCGCGGGAGGTGGGGAAAGCGCAACATTTGAACTATCAGTTAACTGTTGGCCAGTGAAGAGGGTGCCTGTCTGCTTCCTCGCTCTTCCCAGCGTTTTGAGAGTAGATTTGGACACAGTCTTAAGACTGACTGGTACTGACTGGTATTGCCTGGTACAGTGCTTTACGGACTGTATTTTTATTTTTTGGCTTTTAAATTTTTTTGAGTTTTGGATTTTTAAAAGGTGTTCTCTCCCTCCTTTGCTGTCCCCTCCCCCCCCAAAAGGTGCTTGTATTGGCTTGTCTTGATTGAAAAGGTGCTTTTCAAGGTGATCTGTTGTCTGAAAGGTGCTTGGTTTTTCCCAGAAGGTGCTTGTCTGGGTTGAAAAGGTGCTTTTCAAGGTGTTCTGTTGAAAAGGTTTCTAATGATTCAAGTTACAAACCGCCTCTCGACCTAAGAACCAAAACCAGCCAGAACAGATTAATTGGTTTTCATTGCATTCCTATGGGAAATGCTAATTCGACTTACTAACTTTTTGACTTAAAAACTTCCTTCCGGAATGGATTAAGTTTGTAAGTCGAGGGTTGACTGTACTGTGTTTAGAAGAAGGACAGTATTGTGTTATTTTTTTCACCTTTATCTGCCCTTTTCTGACTTCACCCACTCGTACACGGACTAGTTTCTTCCTCCTTTTTTTCATTTTCTTGCGCAGTGTCACATTTATATTAGTCCTGATTGTCCTGATCAGTCATTTTTTGATCTCATTTACAAATATAAAGGGAAGTTCTAAACCTTTTGAGTCAATAAATGTTGCACAGATGTCACATTTGAAACTCCCATATTAATGAGTCATCTGAAATAATTGTAACTCCATTTTGTTTTCCTCTTGGGTTATGTAGTGAAGCTTAAACCACATTTACTACTTGGGAGATAGTCGTGTACAGTGGAACCTCTGTTTATGAACTTAATCAGTCACAGACGATGTTTGTAAGTTGAAATGTTTGTAAGTAGAAGCACCTTTTCCCATAGGAATGCATTGAAAACTGATTAATCTGTTCCATCCGAAGACAAAAACTGCCCAAATAAAACACTGCAAGCCTCTGGGGCTGCAAAAAACAAAACAAATCCAAAAATAAACATATAACCCCACCAGCCCAATCCCACCCTGCAAAAGACAAAAAAAAGTTTTAAAAAAGCAAAAAGCAGCACCTTACCTCTATTTCCGTGACCGTTGCTGCCAGGAGGCCTCCAGGGCTCCAGCTGCTGCTGCCGGGCCAGGGCTTCTTTGCCGCCATGGGATGCTTTCCAGGGGCTCGCCACAAGCACCACCTTTCTCCGCCGCCATCCGCTGCAGGGCCAGGGTTTCTGTGCCGCTGATGCAGGCCTTCCCGGGGTAAACTGGGCCTACCGGGGAAGCCCTGGGTCTACCGTGGGAAAGGCTCCCATGGCAGTGGACAACCTGCGCTGTGGTGGAGAAAGGCGATGCTTGTGGCAAGCCCCAGGAAAGCTGGCGGTGGCGGCGCTGGAAGCCCGGCAGGCTGAGCCCAGCCAGGATGGTCCGGCAGCTCGCTTCCCGGTGGCGTTAGCGGTAGCGGTGGAAGCCCAAGAGGCTGAACCTCCCTTTTCCTAACCGTTGGCGTGAAAGAGCTACAAAGAAGCAGCCTCTTTCCCCCCCTGCCTTTATTTGTTCATATGTTGAAGCTCCATTCGCAAGTAGAGGCAAAATTTTGCAGACGGAGCTGTTCGTAAGTTGAAATGTTCGTAGGTAGGGACGTTTGTAAGTAGAGGTTCCACTGTATTGTGTACAAATGTGTATTAGCAAAAAAATGGTGTATCTCGGTTAGATTTGGTGGCTATAAGATAAAGTAGTAAGTCTGTTGATTTTTTCCTCTACAACAACATCAATTAAATGTTCTGTATTTCAATTTTTTCCTCCTCAGGAAGAACAAAACAGAGGCAAGCCCAATTGGGAACACCTGAATGAAGACTTGCATGTACTCATCACTGTGGAAGATGCTCAGAACAGAGCAGAAATCAAACTGAAGAGGGCTGTGGAAGAAGTAAAAAAATTATTAGTACCTGCCGTAAGTAACTGCTTTTAGTTGCATTCTTATCTTAAGTGTGATTTTTAACATAGGAAGTTAGGTTATCTTTCATATATATGCATTTAAGAGATGTTTAAAAAGCAAGTTTCTCCTATTGGAAAAATGCAATTTAGAACAAACATACTCTTTATAAAGCATACTTAAATGGATGATACCTGATAACTATGACATGTTTTAGAGACCTTTGAATACTGTTTGGAGAGCTACGTTGAATTGTTGCCCTTACAGATAAAAACAATCTACTTCTTTTGTTGCTTGGCAAGATGCATTTTAAATCTGTGAATGTTTGAAGTGAAATTTGTGACATGATATGGAATGCTGATTTTCAAATAAGATGCGTTCCTAGGCAGCAAGAATATTGTGTCGTATCTACATGTGAAGACTTGGTTTCATAGTTATGCCAAGTTCATAGGTATGCCATTATTTCCATGTAGTTCTTACTCTTTCTACAAATTGCCCTATTAGATGAAGAAATTTAATAGAAATTTATAAATGAAGCTTCTAAATATGTACAGATTTTTTTATTTATTTGTTATATTTATATCCCACTCATCTAGTCATTCGACTACTCTAGGCGGTGAATATGAGTATGGGAATATGAGTATACATGTTCTATGGGCTGTATGTAGCTGACTTTCTGTGGAGCTCAGACGCACAGACGTATATTGCCATTTACATTTCATAAAGATGGTGTTTTAGATGGGAATGAATGTTTTAGCATACTGTCAGGCTATGTGGAATTTATTTAAATGTTAAAAGATTTTAAAAGTTTTGAATGGGATTCTTGTTAAAATGTAGCCAAAGTGCTTGTCTCACAGAGGAAGCAGTGTAGTTTCAAAATATGACATCCACATCTTAATACCATATGTTCAGTCAATGTAATTTGAAATTTAGTACTAGACAGAAAGGGCACTTGATTAATGTGGAAATAATACATACAATACTGTTTTTGCTCAGCAGATCTTTAAAAAACTTGTGCTTAAGTAATTGAGATATCTGGATATTTTTCTAAATTTGTTTTTCATTAGATAATTGATTCAGACGCCTACACTTGATCTGAACATTGATTGAAAAGTATTATTTCTTCTCCTCACCATTTAACTGTTTTGGTGTTCATAGCTTGGTAGACTTTTACTTGAGATTGACATTGCAGTTCAAAATGTGCTTATGTTTTTAAACACTAGGTCTTTAACAAATCAAAATGTAATTTGTTAGTCCTTTGCCTCTGAACAGATTTGGCTGTCTAAATTTAAGTGCTCTTTTGTATTAGAAATATCTTAAATATAAGTGCCTTTTTGAGAACAGTGAGCAGCTTGAGAATGTAAAATCTAACAATCAATCTATATTTTGAACATTTTTCTCTTCCCTAATTCAATAGCATGTGACAGATTTGTATTTCTTCATTGATTTACATCAGGTTCCATGTAGTTGTACAACCAAATTCTTAGCTAATTTTACTAATTAAACCTTTGAAATTTTGAAGCTTTAGTAGTGGCTGAAATCCAGTAACATAAAGTTGCTTTGTGTTAAGTCTGGTGACATCATCAGCCACAGCTACATTTCGGTAATTAAAAGTTTCCTTCCCCGTCCTTGGCGGTAGTTTTCAGACATCTAAGACTTCCTGCCTTTATCTTGCTCTTCCCAAATACTTCCCTAGGACCAAAGGGATCTTAAGGAAGCCTTGGAACCATTGGGAGGGAAATAGGAAAGTTTTATTGACAAAATACAGGCTCATTCTTGGATTTCAGCCAATAACTCAGTTGATTTTGCTGGAAGATACGTGCATTGTGGTGTTTCATTTTGTTAGGATGTTGCAGTACTCATTTGTAGTGTGAATAACTGGAATAGAAGTATACTTGCAACTTCATAGTCTAGTCTAATCTTTAATACTTGGTTGTGTTAAACTTGTGTTAAATTTTAAAAAGTGTGTTTTTAAAAACTTGTCTTGAATCTAAACAAATAGATGTGTTCCCCTAAGAGAAAATCTTGAGAATCCCAGGCAGTTTGCTTTGGGATATAAAGATTGAAGTATGCATAAAAGGATATTTCTGAAGTGTATGCTAGTTGCACACGAGCTACTAAATCTTCCCGGCCATCAAGATAAATATTTCAGTTCTGCTCAGTAACCTGTGTTGTAAATTTTATTTTTCTGTATCATAGTTAATGCTTTAGCACAAATTAATTTTCTGTCCCTATACTGATTTTGAACTTTATCATTTTAACTTTCTCCCCATGTTTGTGGTATGACGATAATATAGTTGTTCAATTACAGGGTGATTTAGAAGAGGGTATTTGTGTGTAGTAAAAGTTATACCCTGGTTTCTCTTCAGATTGTATATTCCACCTTAGTGTACATGTAATGTTGAACCTCTGTTAACTGCCATTTATAAAGTAAGGAGCCAACGTCAGGGCTACTACATACTTGCTTCTTTGTCTAAATTACCCTTCCTCTTCCTCCTCATAATAATAATTAAGATAAAGTAGGGTTTTAATTTAATCAGAGTTGGAAACTGCGTTAAAGTGGATTTCCAAGAGACCACACTGAACTGCGATTTCTGGTCCTACTTAATGTTTGTATGAGCAAATTGCTGTGGAAGTGTAAACTTTTAACAGTTGTTCAGATGCAAGAAGCATGATCTTTGGTTGCCATGTGAAAAATAGGTACAGTGATGCCCCGCATAGCGACGATAATCCATTCTGAAAAAATGATCGCTATCCGGATTCGTCGCTATGCGGGACTAAAAACCCCATAGGAATGCATTAAAACATGTTTAATGCATTCCTATGGAGGATAAACTCACCGCTATGCGGAAATCCTCCATACAGCCGCCATTTTCGGCGCCCGGTATGCGAGGGAAACCGTGTGAAAACGCTGCAGGTGGCCATTTTTTCCGGTGGCCATTTTGGAACCACGATCAGCTGTTTCTAAAATATCGCAGTGCGGTTTTTGGCCATTGAGAATGTCGCAATGCGATCGCTTTTGCGATCATTTTGCGTCATTAAACGGGGCGCTCGCTATGCGGGGCACTACTACTTTTTTTATAATAAGGGAGCCATTGTGGTGTGGTGGAGTGATTAACTAGATTTCAGGAGATCTGGGTTCAAACCCCCAATGAGTGCGTCAAACTCATGGGGGTGTGGTGTGGGTGTGGTGTGGCACTGGTAAAATCACTTTTTGAGTATTTTAATACCTTGAAACCCCCATGAGGGACACTATAAGTCAGATGCAACCTCATGGCGTGTAACACAAAGAATGATTTATAAGTTATGTACAGTACAGTGAAGCCCAAAAGCCATTCAATTCAAGTAAACATTATGTGATTTTTATTCTAGACTGATACATTTATTCCATGAATCTGCAACATAAATCTCCTCCTCCTCTGGATCCCCTCCGTCCCGTAGAGCTGTATGTTTACTCAGGATCTTTCTAAGTAACCTTTTTTATGTTTCACAATCAGGGTGGATTTGATTTAAATCATGATTTTTAAATGTAAAGACTCATTCTTGCTGGTAGTTACAGTCTTTAATATTTGCAAGCAGATGAAGATTTTATATTTAGAATAATAACCTATCAGATTAGTAAAATTGCTATATCAGAACAGATTTTAGTTTAATAGGTTAATCACTCATATTTAGTTTAATAGGTTAATCACTACTTACATTATTTTATTTAATTAATAACATTGTATAGCATACATATTCTTGTATTTGTTTAAACATCAGTGTGCTCATTGTTTGTACATAGATTTGCAGAAGAATAAAGAGATTAAGGTCTTTTTCTGAACTTTGTTCATTTTTTGTATCATTTTTACTGTGAAAAAGTGCATGTTATCTAGTTTGGATAACTTGGATTAATTGAATGAGTTTACCAAAAATGTAAATATTGCATGAATGTATAACTTCGTGCTATATAACTACATTTTATTTCATGTTGAATAACTTTTAAACTATAATGTATCTTAAATAGAAAAGTAGCTTTAGATAGGTTTTTC